CCGGCCACGTTGTCACCGGCGGGGTCACCTCCAGATCGGCCCCGCTGGCCAACGGGGGCTCGAAGGACCTGAAGGAGGGCGGCTCGTCCTGCGACACCCGGCCGCCAGCACACGGCCCGGCCCCAGTGGTGTCGCCCGGAGGGGCTCCGCTCTCGGGGTCTGATCCGCCCCAAACTCACAGGGACTCGCTAAACGCATCGGGGAACATTTAATCTTCCGGGATTTGTGCCGAGAACCCCCTACCGGCATTACAAAAGAGCTGGGGTCAAGGGAACCTCCGCTCGCGCTGCACCTCTGCTCCTGTGCCCCCAAACCCTGCCTGCACAGAGACGGGGGTCAAGAGGGGTGACCCCGCCTCCGCCCAGGAACGCCGCTATCCTCTCGAGAGCCCCCTCTCCGCCTGCATCACTCCCCGCAACCCCAATCCTTCCCACAAAACCTGGCATGGCGGTGACCCCATGCAGGGAGACACCCCTTCCCTCCACCCGTGGGAACCCCGGACTCTGAGCCCGACCCTCGCGACGGCAAAGGCGGGGCCTCGCACCCCTCGGGGGGACCCGGCCCCCAAACGGCCACAACACCCGCGGGGGCTCCTTCCCAACGGCCATGGGAGGGACCCGCAACCGCCCCCGCGGTCACGGGGAGGGGGGGGACGAAGGGCACACAGATCCTCGTCCCCAGCGGTCCCGGAGGGAGGCTCTCGGAGCTCCATCCCCACGGCGAGAGATGAGGGCGGGGGAGCCACATATCCTCGACCCCAGTGGTCGCAGGAGTGGGCAGCACACAGACTCCTCAAGGGTCCGTGTGGGGGAGCACAGCCCCATTCCCAGGGGTCACAGAGGAGGGGGGTGAGCACTGAAACTCCCGTTCCCAATGGTCATGGGGGAGGGGTATCCAGAGCCCCGTCCGTAAGGGTCACGGCGGGGGGGGGGGGGGGGGGAAGGGCCACAGCCGCGTTCCCAGGGGTCACAGGAAGGAAGGGGGGAGGGCACGTATCCCCATCCCGGAGGTCATGGCTCACGACAGCCCAGGCCCATCCCGCGCGGAAAGGGCAGGGGGGATGCCCGAAGCCCAAGGGGAGCCCCAACCGCCACCCCCCCACACACCTCCCCCCGCCCGCGGCGGGGCGGCGTGGCGCGGGGCCGGCCGGGCGCGCACTCACCCGGTCGCTGGGGTATCCGCCCTAGGTGCGCTCCATGTGGGTCGCGCCGGAGCCGGCGCTGCGGGCCGGGGCCGGGCCGGGCCGGCCGAGGCCGCCACGCGCTGAGGCCGCGCCGCGCAGGCCGCGCCGGGTCCGCCGGGCGGGGCGGGGCGGACACGGCGCAAAACGCGGAGGGCGGAACGTGGAGCGGCGTCCCCGGGAGGCGGGAGAACACGGAGCGGATATCCCGCCTGAAGGATCGGGAGCCGGAGACAGACAAAGCCCGGAGCGGAGCATTCCCTGCCTTAGGAGCCGAAGCCGCCGTAGAGCCTCCTCGGAAATGGCGGGGGGAATCTTTTGGGGGTGTTTCACTCTCTAAGCGGTGTCTTGTGAGGCCTCTGCCCGGCACGGTCCCCCCAAGGCCACGCTTTTAGCTCCCTCAGCCAGCACAGAAAGGCAGGGGGCCGGAATAATCACCACCCCGGGGCATCCACACCTACCTCAAAATCCACCACATTGTGCTCCACGCTGCCACTTTTCCTTTCAAAACACTCTTCTGGATGGAAAGAACACCTGAGTCCCCAGCCGTTCTCATGCCCTGGAGGTGACATGTCCCCTAAACTCTCCCCACCCAAAACCTCAGCAGCAGCCCTGATGACCGGGGAGGAAATTCAAGCTCATCTCAACCCTGGCCCCTGGATAATCCAAAGCCTCTGCTCCTTTTCCCAAAGCCTCAGCATCAAGCCCCACTGTTCGGTGAGGAAATTTCGGTTCACCTCAGCGGGGATGTCCCAGTCCTATCTCCATAACACCCCAAATCCAGGAAGGTGAAGCAGTACAGCAAGCTGTGCCAATGGGAGATAAGATGCAGGGTCCAAGCTGGCATCTGTCAGTGCTGAGCATGGAGCAGGAACATGCACGAATCTGCAGGTCCTGCAGATGGAGAGGGGAGCACCAACTCCATCCACCCAGCCAGGGTCTGCTCTAAGTATTCCAGGCCAAAGAGGTGGCACCATTCCTTGAGTGTGCCACCATCCAGTGTGGTTTCAGGAGAGCACCAAAGGAGATGCCAAATTCTTCTGATGCTTTTTGCCCCAAATAACAACACAAGACCCAAATCCCTGGCAAAGGAGGTGATGCCGAGAAGGCCAGAGGTTTGGGTGTCTCAATGCTTTTAGGGCTGGAGCAGGTGGGAGGGAGCCAGAAGATGTTTAAAGCAACAGGAAAAGAGGGGTGAGAAGAGAATTCTTACAGCCCAAAAGAGAGAAAGAGGAGAAATCCTTCCTTATACTGATGAGGAGAAACTGTTCTTGCACAGCACAGAGCCAATGCTGGCAGGCTCCAAGACAACCTGCATTAATAAAACCAGGTCAGTTTTTACTGAAGTATTTTCAAGGATTGGGTAAAATGTTTTATGGGCATTTGCTGTTGATGTTCATCAAATCTCAGACCAGGAATGGTGCTTCCAAAGGTGGAAAAACAGCATCAGACAGGAATGCAGGCTGAACCAGGGGATGGGTCAGTGCATCTTTCCTGGCAAAATTGTGATGCCATAAATACAGGAGGAATATAAAACTCCTGCCAGGCAAGGCAGTTCCATTGGGAATTATCTCAGCATAGCTCCAATGACATGTTTTGCCACGACCAAGAGCAGGGCCTGTGCTCCAGCCTGCCTGCAGCTGTCAGATCCCACAGAATCCAACAGATGATGGTGGACGTGAAACCCTCAGGAATGAAACCTGCAGGCACCAGGTAGATGTGAGTTGTGAGTGACAAAGGACAGGGAGGTGACAAGGCAGCAGGGGTGGATGCAGGAAATGGATCTGGTTTAATATGGAGCCAAATCATGGGCTCATATTAAAGCCTAGCTCAGGCATGGGATGGGTGATCCATCTGGGGAAGCAGTACCTTGGGATGGAGATTTTAACAGGCACTAGGTGTGATGGGAAGGTGGGATTTTGTGGGATCACAGAGTTGGTACAAGATCCCACTCTGTCATGGTCTTGTCTGATGGTCTGATGGCGCTGCACTCCTGGGATAGGAGCAGGAGCTGCACCATCTGGAGCCAGCCTGGCACTTCCTCCCCTGGGTGCTGACTTCCAACCCTCTGTGTCTCACCTCTCTCACACAGCCCACAAGGAAGGCCCCTCCTGCCTCCTTCTTCCCAAGGCACCAAGACCCTGGGATGACTCCCCAAGCCCCCCATCCCTCTCCAGCTCTGCTCCTATTGACACCATATATATTCTCCCTCACTCTGAAGGGACATCCACAAAGACAGTAGAATCTCCATGTAAGAAAAGTGCAGGGAAGTCTCTAGGAATCTCAGCACAGCTGACTGGACCATAGTGGAGGGACACAAGGGATAGAGCAGATAGGGGAATGTATCCAGAGGAGGAAGGAAGGAGGAGAATTCCATCACCCTTGGCATTGAACAGCAGCTCCCACACCATAAACTCTGTGCCAATTGCGGGCAGCTCAGAGCTGAAACACCCGTAAGGGTTTTCCCACTGAGGAATAACTTGGGTGGGTGTTGGATCCAGCACCTCAGAGATCCCACAGGAAGCAAATGGAGCCAGAAGAAAACTCCCAGGGCAAAAGGCATGGGATGATTTCCAGCGCTACAGCACAAAGGCTTTGCACCCTCCTCCTCCTCTCCCATGGGCAGAGGGCTGGGACAACCTACACCCAGGGACTGTGCCAAGCAGTGGAGCTGGCAGCTCCCACTGCATTCCTGGCATTCCAGGAGCTCTTAGACCATGGCAAGGCAGAGCCTGGAGCACCAAAGCACAAAGGGATCGAAGCCCAGTATACACCAGTGCACGATGAGCATGGACATGGTAATGTCGGGAGAGGCTCAGTGTGAGGAAGCAGAGAAGAAGGTAAAATTCCGATTATTCCAAAGGTGTTCTACACACAGCTGCTGGGGGCCAGGTCATGGGGGGTGGCTGCTGTTTCAGTACAAATCAGCAGAAGAACGTACGGCTGGGCACTCAGCAGTGATTCCAAAGGACTGGAAAAGCACCTGTGAGTAGGCAAAGAGCCCACCTCTAATCCCAAACTTCCCATGCCCACTTCGCAGGGTTCAGGCTCTCTGACTATTGGGAGCCATCCCCCTCATCTCCTCAGCTTCTCACCCTTTTCCTCCCATAGAGCAAAAAACACCTCAAGGCACTTTTTGGAGAGGGAGATCCTTCCAAAGCCAGGATGGAGCTGGGCTGCCTGCTGCCCGAGAGCTCCCCATGATGGTTCTAGGACCCGCTGCTCCTGGGGGTGCCAGAAATTGTCGAACTACATCCTGTCAAGCTCCATCTCCCACCCACCTTTGTCTGCAGCACGGGACCTCCCTGGAAGCACAGGGCTGTTGGGCCAGGTCTTGGTGAAAACATCTCTTTTAATAATACTTTTGGAATACAAGAGATAAAGCAATACCTAAAAACAATCTGGGATAAGGGATCCGTCTTGCACCTGCTTTTCAGAGCTGAAGACCATCCTGGCACCCTTCAGAGGCAGTTGGGTGCTTCATAGGAACCAGTGCTGCTCCCCGGTGCTCACCCCATGGCTTTCTGCTTCATTAACCCCTTCTTTGCTCCCTGATGGATCTTTGCATCCAGCTTCCCTGTAAAGAGGGGATTAAAGAAAAAAGAAAAACACAACAAACCCTCATCACTCTTTATTTTTAAATGCTATTTGCAATGCAAATGAGCTGGAGGCACCGAGGTCTCCTAGTTAGTGTGTTCCTGTCACATCCAATTATCCTGCTTGAGGAGCCAGGCGTTTCCAGCTGCCACAGCCTCCCTTCGCAGGCGTGACACCGGGGAGCCAGGGGCAAGCGTGTCTGATGCGGCCAAGAGACGCCGGGGAGGGGGAAATTCGAGGAGAAGAGTAAATTAACATCCAGCACTTGCCTGCCACTACCAGGGGGGAAACCGATCCCTGCGCCTGCCCGCAGGATGCGTGTTGATACGCTCGGAGGAGATGGGGGACTGTCTAGCAACGTGTTAGGGACATGTTTCTCCATGGTGCAGCGAAAGGCTGCTGTTTGTTGGAGACAACAAACCCTCAGCTTGGGATGATGGTGCAATGTGTGCATCACCCAGTGTGATGGGGACATCTGCTCCATGGTGCCACATGCTAAGTTGGTGGTCTCCAAGGCCATCTGCTGCCTTTGCCACCAGGGAAAACCTCAGCCAGCAGCTCCAGTGGGACCTGGAGAAAACAGTGCTTCTCCTTGTCTTTCACAGCCAGCTCTGCTTTCCCACCTGGGAGAGGAGCAGGACACGAGAACATGGGATTTTGGGCAACTCCTGATAAAGAAGTCAGAAGCCAGGCATAGCGATGTACTCCGTCAGAGGAGCATCCTTGTCCTCTTCTTCCTGCCTGTAAAAATGCAAGGATGCTCCCACTCTCCCAGCTTCCCAGCGACGCTCTGCCAGCAGCCAACACTGGTCACCTCCTCTAATGCCACGTCTCCCCAGGACTTGCCTTCCTGCTGCTCCCCTGTGTCTTCCCATCCTCTAAATGCCACCCTTGTCCTGTCTGTATAGCTGGGAACAGAGATAGGGCAAGATACACCAGGCTCCAAAGTTCTCCTTCAGCCACTGGTAAAAAATCTGCTGGTAAATGTCCATGTGCCATAAGAAGCAGGTGTTTCTCCAGAGAAAATGGATCCTAACCAGCTAGTGACCATCACTGCCTCTTCAAACCAAGAAAACGTCTCAATTCCAGTTCAACAAAGACGGTTTGCAGATCACTATGCCACAGATCCACAAACTGAAACATGGCTTGGAAGACATTCTAGGAGATCCTCCATCCCCTTGGCCACTCCAGAGAAGACTTTCCCTCCACCGTCTAAGGATGGGGAAGAAGGCTCCTCCTTGCAATTGCTGTTTCCAGTCATTGGCACTTAAGCAGGCTGAGCCAGCCCATCCAGAAGCAGTGTGTCAGACCACCCTGTCCCCACGCCAGGAGTGGTTTTGGCAGGAGAAAGGCAGCAAGTTCACATTCCCCCAACACTACCTTACTGTCACCAGAGCTGTTGTATTTCATATGCCTGGCTGCTTCTCCTGGACCCCAAAAGCACTGGGAGGCTCCTCTGCTCTTCCAGCTGGCAAACACCACATACTACACAAGTAACCTTTAAGAAAAAGCTAAAAATAAGGCAAAGCCCCAGGGTCCCTTGCTCTTTCTGCTCAATGATTCAAGGCCGCTCATCTCACACCATGTATTCTGCTCCTCTGCATTCTTCCAGCCACTGGCTGTTGGAAGGAGGTTCCTAAGTGATGCTTCAGGGTAGCTTTGCCTGGATTCAAGGAAATCTCCCATAACAAAGGCCAATGAGCTTTGTCCTCATGCACTAAAACTACATGGAGACGTATCTAGGGAGAGCTGTGCTCCCAGATGCAACACTGTGCCCATCCCTTCCACAAAAACAATGACCCTGGCGGCAAAAACTGAGCCATGGCAGGGGTTTTTTTCCCATCCCCAGGCTGCTAGAAACAAGTAATTTGCAACAGAGAAGCATCCGGATGTCAATGTGGCAAGGTCCATGCTGTTATCTGGCACAGAACACTGCTCTGGCTTGGCTTTCCAACAGGACAAACTGGCATTTTGTCATGGTTTGAGCCAGGTTTCAAGGAGACCAGGGCAGCCAGCAAGCCCAGGTGGGGATGTGAGCTGGCACCTTCCCTCTGCTCTGCTTCCAGCTGGGAGAATTAAGCTTCTGACTGACTGGGATGCAATGCCAGCTTCTATTAAAACAGCACCTTGCACTGATGAAAGGTCAAAGGCTTCCTTGCTCCTTCCCTAGGCTGTCATAAATATCACCCAGACGGACCCTGTCCCTTCCGGGAGGTGAACATGCAGCTCCGCAGCCCCCCTGCGCTGCTCCTGTGACAGCTCCTATTGGGATGGAGGGCAGGGAAGGCAGGGCCAGCAGTGGGAGTGGGAGCACAGGCAGCCGCCAGCACAGCCGGCTTTCTTCCAGGCTGTTAGACTGATCCTTCTCCAAGCAAAAAGTGTCACAACACAAAGGAGATGATGTGACAGATGGGGAGGGGACTGGCAGCACCTGCACCCGGCAAGGCAGATGTGCAGGAGCCTCATAGCAGCTTCGACCTCTCCCACCCATGGCCAGACAGAGGCAGAGGAGAGAGTGAAGGAGCACGAGAGCCTGGCAAGAGCAAAGGAGAGGTTAAAACAAGGGAAAAAAAAGGATGCAGTGGCTGTGTCAGCACGCAAGAGCCACAAGGCTGTTCCCCCACAGCCTAGATTTTCATCCTAAATAACTCCTGCCTGTTCACTGGCACTCAGAATAACCCATCTAGGGGGAGGACCACAAGCAAGATTCGAGTGCTTGCAGGTCTCTAAGCACTGGTCTCCATTGGCTGAATTCACCTCCCAGTTGCTGCTCAAAAAGGCAAGGAAGAAACCAAATGGTTCTGCAGGACATCCCAACACCCAGCTGTGGGAGAAAGGTGAGCAGAGGGAAAAATCCCTCAAAGCCAACAAAAATAGTCCTCTGCTGTGCTCCAAAAAGCCCTTATTAACCAGTCCTGAGAAATCCCAACACTCCTGAGCCCAAGGTACTAGCCCAAGGATCCATGTAGAAAGGAGGGAGATCACCCAGTTGTCAGCTCTGCTAAATAAACAGCCAAGACTCTTCCTGCTTCTGCTGCTTTTAGCCCGTCAAATTAATTTTTCACATCCCCTGCGAGCGCATGCGGTGCCTTCCCCGGGCTGTGTGGTGGGGAGGCTGCTAATAAGGACAGAGTTGACTGCAGGCTCCCCAGCTGCCGCATCCCTCCTCCATCCTTTTTATAGCAGCGGGCAGGAATAACTGGCAGCCTGCGGAGGGGCTGGTGGCTCGTAAAAGGGACTAACAACGCTGGCAAGCGGAGCGCAGACAGATGCTGCGGAGCTTCCCTGTGAGTTCTGCCAGGACATCCCATCCCACCGGCCTGCAGATGGGGAACATCCATCTGGCCCTGCAGCTCTTGCTGTTCAAGCCTCACTGTCCTCAGGGGCAAGAGTGTGATTTGGAACTACAGGACATGGAGGTTGCCTGGATCTGCCTGGGCATTGCTGCGCCGACTCCTGTCCTGACCCAGGCTAATGCCAGCAGCAGATCAGCCACTGACACAACGGCTCTTTGATTCCCCAAGTGTTTGCAGAGGCAGGAAGAAGCATGTATTTGGAAGGAAGCAACATCTGGGGAAAGGGGAACCAAAGACAAAAAAAAAATTACAGATGTATTTGAGCCATTAAACAAACACCTCCAGATCAAACAGCAGACGGCAAAGGTTGGGAACTCATCTGGCAACGGCAAGCTGGGGTGGCGAGGGGAGCTGGCTCCGAGGGCTGGGAGGGGCATCTGGGGAAACTTTACTACTTACAGATTTTGTGTTTGCCTTTGATGGGAAACTTCAGAACCATCTCCTGGGGATTAGTGCAGATAAAGACAAATGGAGATCCGGACTCCTGGCTCAGGTCCGGATACTGTGAAACACGGAGAGACACAGAGAGCAGAGTCAGGACAGCTGCATGGATGCAAAAAAGCTCAGTGTGCAAGAACAGAGGGATCTTAGCCAAGATATGGGTTATATGGAGGCTGTAGGAGCTCAGCTCAAACCACTTCAAGAACTTTTAATGAAAAAAAAACCAAACAATTCCAGGTTTGGGTCTTATTCTGCAAGCCCCTTGCTCTGGCTCTTCCCACTGCGCCTCTGCTGAAGCTCGCTGCCTCTTTGGATCTACTCACCTTGGGTGTTCCCAAACCCCTATCAGCCTCCTTTAGCTCTGACCTGTGCTACCCCTGTGGTTTCACACTTGATTTAGGCTGATCAGAACCTTGGGATGTAGAGAGGGAGGTGGCCGGGGCCCTACCATCACCAGCCCACCTGTTCGCTGGGAGAAGCAAGGGACAGATTTTTCAGCCTGATGCATCCCTGGATTCAGATGACTCAGAATATGAGTATTCCCACTAATCCCTAACTGGTCATGGACAGCACACCAGCACCTCAACCAAAATAACCTGCCAAACCCACCAGAAGGGTGGCCACCACCAGCTGTCCCAGCTACAAATACATCCCCAAATGTTCCCCACAAAGCTCAATCCCAAACACAAGGATTTGAGATTTGGAGAGTGTGCACTGTCCTGCTGTGGGACACGCATTCCTTGATATTCACTTGCATATAAAGGGTGAGCAACACACCTGCTACATACCAAGGTGATGGCTCAGAGAGGCCAGCTCAGGGCTGGCTCCATTCACGGAGTCAATGGAGGGAATTTACCACACTGAAGACATGGGAGAATTTTATAGGAAGAGAATCAACAGATTATAGAATCATAGAAGAATTTAGGTTGGAAAAAGACCTCTAAAATTGTTTCTCTCATTAACCATGTGGAGAAAAAGGAGAAAAAGCCCACTCTATGCAGGAAGCACATCAAGATCCTGCTGCGGCTCAGCCTCCCTGGCATTCAGAGGTGAAATGCAAAACAGTCATAAAAAATGTATATCTCAGCTCTCACCTCAGATCGTCCACAAGCTGCAGAGCTGGTGCTGAGGCCAGCACATGCCACGAGGATGCTCCAGCTCAGGAAACCCTGCTCTAACAGACTGCGGAAGTGGTTTTCCTTCCATGGGAAAACTGCCTTCTTTTTTTTCCTGCTCCCCTGCCTTCCTTGAGCAGATCCGTCAAGGCTGCTTGAGGGGACAGGATGCCAGACCAGATGGAGCTGCATGTCCTGGCAAATCCCCCATTTGTTACTAACAAATGACTCCTAGGCCGAGTGTTTGAAAAGCTCTCACCGACCTGCCAAACTGAGTTTGGATTTGCCCTGGAACAGCTGGGCACGGCAAGGGAAGCAGGGAGCAACCCGCTCTCCCCACACTGCAGCAGGGCTTGGCAGCATTGCCAGCAGTTCAGGGAGATTTACAGAAGCCCAACGCTGGGATTGGATCAATCAGGGGAAGCATTTCCAAGCCCTCTCATTTTACAAGAGCATGTAAGAGCTGTGCACTGAGTAAGAGAGAGGTACAAGCACTCAGCTGCTCCATGCAGCTCCGTGCCGGGGAGGAGCCTCACTGATCCGCATCATGTGCTGATGCCCGGCTGCACTGACCCAGGCTTGGAAAGGTTTCTTCCTCTCTGTTCTTTTTTGGCTGAGTCACTTCACTTGACTTGCTTCCACCACTCCATGCCCATGCCAAGGATTTTCATTTCCCATCTGCAGGGAAGGAGGATCATAGAAGGTTAGGATGTGAATATCCCGGACTAACACCTGGAGAGTGAAATGCTGTCACTGCTTTGTTGCTCTCGGCATCACCCCGGCGACAGGTGGCACCTCCGTGGCTGGAAGACCTGAGGACAAGCCAAAGGACCAAGGTACTCCAAGGCTGGAGGACCAAGGGCTACCCAAACCTGGCTGCAGAGGTGATCCTTTCCTGCTCCACTACACCTGGTTCAGCCCATGGCTTCTTCAGTCAGGTGAGGCAGCCAGGACAGGCATGTTGCAGAGGTCCTGCTGCTGGAATACAGCTGCTTCCCAAACCCCCTCAGCCACTATCTCCCGGGCAGACCTGGACAACACATGTCCTCCTCACACCTCTTACAGCCCCATGCCGGGAACATCTCCCAGACAGGCATCAGCAGTGAAAGCAATAGCCAGTTGGTTTCTCCACTGACAGCTTTCATTCATAACCAGAATCAAGCCTTCAGCTCCAACAGCTCCTGTTCAATCTGATCTCAAGGCCAAGGTGGATGCCACAACTGTGACTTGAATTCCTGCTTCCACACCACAGCCTTTCATCTTTGCTCCCAGGGTGCATTTCTATCTCTGAGCCAAATCACTTTGGGCTCTTCATTTTAAAAAGCTTTGGTCCTTCCTCTGGCATCTCATTCCCAGGAGGCAGGGAAGGAGCCCCTCATCCAGCCACTACATTTAAGGCTTCTTATTATACCTACCCCAGAAACCTCTTATCTCATCCAGAGATGAACAAAAATCCAGAATATTCCTGCAGGCTGGAGCCGAGAAAGAGCCATAACCCTTTCCTCTGCCTAGAGTCAGGATGCTCCCAGGTGAGGAAGATGAGGCTGAGCCAAGCCAACAGCCTAGTTCCCTTCTGCCCCCAGTCCCTTCCATGAGTACATTCCATTCATTCATCCCACAGAAATTTAGGAAGCTTCATTCTCAGCGGAGATGCTGCCACCAAGACACCAAACAGGTTTGCTTCCATTACATTGTCCAAAGCTGCCCAAATTTAAGTACCAAAACCTAATTTCTCACTGTTTCTACTGTGAAAGGTCAGTCGAGTCACTCTACTGTCTGCAACGCAGGAAGTTTAGGAGATGGAGAAAATATTTATTCCCAACTACTCCACCCCACATGCAACCTATCATCACTTCAGTAAACCTTAGCTTGGAATAAAAGCCCAAAACCCAGAGCTGGTGTAGCAGAGGGAGAGCACAGAGCATATCCTGTCATATTGTTCAGGTTGGACAGGGCTTGGACCAACCTGGTCTAGTGGAAGGCATGTTTCACCCCATGGCAGGGGATGAAATGAGATGAACTTTAAGGTCGCTCCCAACCCCAACCAGTCTGCAATTCTGTGATCCCCAGTAAAGACAAATCTCCAACAGCAGTTTTTCAAATAAAAGGTCAATTCAGAGGGAAACCATGCTTCCTCTCTTCCAGAGACCAAGAATCAAACCCAACCAGGAGACTGATGAGGGATGTCCCTCTTAAATTAAACAGCACTCATCTTTCTCATACTGGGGGCGTTAATAAGATAGGTGCTGGTACTCCAGGATTTACACTGCCTCTACCTGGAAGCAACGTGACATTTACAAGGTGGCTACAACACAGTCCAGAGACCAGATTATCCCTCAAGAAGGAGCAAACCTACCTTTCTCCAGTCCTGCAGATGACCAGGGAAGCTCAAAAGAGAGGGGTGATACAATGCAATTACAGTGTGAAAAAATATTCAGTCTCCTTTCAGACCTTCTGCCAAGTTGTAGTCAGCTGGCAACAAGGCAGGTGGGAGGGCAGTGGGCTCTGTGGGCTGCAACAGCTGATGAAGCTCACCAAGAGCTGCTCCTCCCACTGCTCCAACACCCCACAGACACTCTCTACACACGGCCTCCATGCAACCACTGCCCCCCCTACTCGTCCCACCTCTCCAGCTGGGCTTCAGTTTGCTGCTAACAGGTCTGGAAGATCCCAGCTGTGAGGAGATTAGGTGGGAGGGAAGAGAAAAGCAGATCTCAAGGCAGCTTAACACCCGGAGGAAGAGCTCGAGGTTAAATTAAGCTGGAAAAGGGAGCTGAACGCTGGGCTCCTCCAAAAACTGGCCACTAGACTCACCCTCACGCCAGAGCCAGCACTTTGAACATGTATTAAGTGGCTATCAGATGTCCCCAACAGTCACCCAGCTCAAGCTGCAAGCAGGGATAATTGCTAATGAATGTTCCCTACACTTTGTTTTCACCATCCCTCGTCTCCCATCACCAGCTTGTCACCACCAGGAATAGCAGCAGGGCTGCCAGCCTCCTGCTCCCCAGCCCACAGCAAAAGAGCAAAGCAGGGTATGAGCCAGCTCAGAGCCAGCAGACACGAACCCACCTTCTCTGACATCTGAGAAAAAAAAAATTCCTGCTATATTTTTCACCCCACACCAATCTGTTACATTTTTTTTCCCCGATTTAGATAAAGCCTGCAGTAGGAGGCTGGGGCTATGCAGGCTCACCCAGCATCACTGGTACCAACACAGTATTTGGAGCCCTTTGCTCATACTGATTCCATCTCCACAGGAGAAAAAAACATTGAGAAGGCCATCCTAAATCCCTCGATTGCTGCACCCCTCCCCAATAAACTGCACCGGCTTGAACCCAACTGTCATGACCCGAAGGCAGGGGAATGGAAAGAGCAGAAGGAAAAGGTCCTGGGGGGAAGCCAAACCATCACTAACGAGATGAGCTCTGCTCCGGTGCATCCGAGGCAGGAACAAAGGCACCACGTGCACGGAGCAGCAGCTCTGCACAGCACAAAGCCCAAGTGCTCCCGGCAGCTTCTTTAGCGACCCTCCAGGAGCATTCTTACTCTCATTAAGGCCTCGGGACACAAAGGGGTGGGAATAGCCCCGGTTTCACACACCAGCCTATGGAGCCCTGCAGTGCAGCCTGAGCTCTCCTCTGCTTTCCTTGCCATGGAGCGCACATCCCAGTTAGCCGGAGCGGCGGAGAATTGCACACTGGAACCTGTGGTCCTTCCCCTCTCTCCATCTTACAGCTGCCAGGGACACTAGCAGTGAGGAGGTGCTTGAGACGCTCTGCAAGGTTCATGATGGAAAGGGGTGAATCATTTTCCTGGCGTGGCTCCTCAGTGAACAACAGGGAAAACACGGCTTGCTCTGCCAGGCAGTGCCGGGCCAAGACACCCGCTCCAGCCTTCACTTCCCTGCTGCTCTCCAAGAGCTTTGGAATAAAAGAGGCAGCAC